GAGAGCTCAAAGTACATGTAATAATTTCAAAAACTATTATTTTGGAAGGTTTTATAAGTATACATTGCAGATGTCCGATCAACTGCTTTAGAACACAGAAAAATATAGGCATTGTTTACTGTTCTAGAGGGTTTCCTGACGCCGACAGCAGGCTGTTAGGCGAATGGTCCTTAGCGATATTTTTTCAACGGTGTCAATAAACCTAGAAATTTCAAATTATAATAATTATCATGGCAGACTGTCAGAAAATTCTAAAATAACATCCGTTTGAAACCGAAGATGAATGTCACCATCTATAGCGGGTACTGATTACTATAAAATACTTTTTCGTACTCACTATCCGAACCAATGCTGGATATTGGGGTCATCCAATTCCATTGAAAAATGCGCTACACAGGCAGTAATTATTTTTAGTGTGGCATTCACAGGTCCCTTTAGTGAAGTCTAATTAATACGCTGCTTATTGTAATACATGAAATCGCTCGGGAGTCTGCTGGAGTAAAAAAGCTTCTAACACAACCTACGTAGTCTTATTCCTGTAAATAAGTATCGATAACATGTAAGTAATACTTTATCGTTTCAGAAAGGACTGCAATTAATAATAGATATTAGTCACAATTATATTTACGGTGGATAAGTCAAGTCGAGGTTTTTGAAATATTCGGGACTTTTGTCATCCATGTAAGTTTTTTTGGTCGGATGTGATTATGCAGGCCCACTTGAAGTAAACAAACCTTAGTCACCTCTAAAACGGGACCGGTGATAATAAAAGTTTTTACAGATGAGGCCGAGGAACTCACGGACGACGAGGCCAAGTAGTTTTATGCAAAAGAAAACTGGGAGTGCGTCCTTACACTTTTAGGGGTTGAAAAATAGTTGCGCTTACCCCTATCCCAAACGCCTACTTATAACAGCTTATCCCAAACCCCAGTGGCTAACCCTAGCCCGTAACCCTAACCCTCGTAACCCCTAACCCTAACCCTTAACCCCAACCCTAACAGTACTGTGTCCATTAGGTTGGGCTGCCAAACCACATCTTACCTCTTTTTTTACTAGGGAAACCACTAGCGAGACGTTAATTATTCCTCGTTGTCGCAGACAATTATTTAGCGCTTGACTATGACAACGGACTTTCCGGCTCAATGTTTACTGGACTTGAGTTGGGGTATCAGATTGGTTTCGATTACGTTGAGTTATGGCTTATGGCTGACCTCAAATAATCCAAATACTGTGAACTGTGTACTTTGGTCTTCGTCGGTTGTGGCATGCCGCAAGATCCTTTTGTATACGTCACATAACCCAGCAAGACCCAGTTTTTAAGTAGAGACAAAATGGCTTATTGAACTAAAAAATGATATTATGGTCATTCCAAGGCGTGCAGAAGCAGGGTAAATAATAAATGACTGCTGCCGAACAAATAGGAGGAATTCAAATATGCGAATGTCTTTTAAGATTCATTTTAACCAATTTTTGATTTGTGTTCTTTTGCCTGTTTTCTGGAATTTGACAGCAATAGTA